CTAGACCAGGGGGCGAGTGAACAACACACCTCAACCCAAACAAACAATGTCATCACTGTCGGTGACATAACAGATCTGACTGACATAAGCACACTTGTTTACTGACAAACACAGGCACAAATGATTATATCATGCAATGAACTGTGGAAACACAACAGACATACACAGCCACAGAACAACAAACAGACAGCAAGCACATCACTACAGAAACGGTGCTTAGTTTATTTAGCAAGTAGTTTCTAATTAAAAGCAATCACGATGCTTTCTGATATAGAAACGTGTGCGCACGCGTGTATATGTGTGTGAAGGAGGGAGTTGTGTGTGTGGTGAGTGAGAAGATCCTAGCCTACTGTATGTGCCTAGGTAACTAATTTCAGTTAGCAACCAAACCTAGTTTGATAAAGATTTCTTTTCTTTCTTTTCTTCTTCCTTGATTCGTCCAATATGTGTGTATTATAATTCAGGTGCACCTGAGTACAACAGAACATCTTTCGGTTGTTGCATCTGACTTATGCCATTTGTTGTCTATGTACGCTTCCCAGGTTCACCATCGTCGACACATAGCTCTGTGATATGATTTATGTCACTGCTCTACTGATGGTCATGTCGCATGGTGTTGGTCGCCGTGTTTCTCTTCAACCTTCTGCCATTCAGATAATACAGAAATACCCTATCTGATGACAGTAAACTGTATCACATCTGTTATCTAGGTCTCTGTTGTCGCCATGTACCCAGTGGGCCCGTTTCCATGACGTGTCCAAATAACGTGGACTGCTTACTTCTGATGATGAGGGCAACTAGTCCTTTGGAAGGGGGAGGGGGGTTATGATGATCATCATCGTTATCATCGCTGCTATTTTATTGCCTGTGATGTTCTAATACGTTTTACTGTAGGAACTATTTCTCCACAGCTTCCTCATACATACTGTCACTGATCCGTGGAATGCCTGTTAATCTGCTTGTTTTGTCAATATCTGTTTTCTGCTGTTGTTCGTCGCAGTTTAGCAGATAGATAGCTAAACCTGGGCGCCCTCAATTGCTAGGTCACCAGCGATGTTCTAAAGTTACAGACTGTCTGTGACTTCTTCGGTCTATGTTCTTATAGGACTCCCTCTGCATCTGGGTTTATGATTTACATCAACATATCACAAACGTGTAAAATTCAGCTATTAATGTTTATTTTTCTAACTTCAGTTCAAAAAAGGAACGCTGTATAGAATATTATTATTTATATGTTCAGGACATTGGCCTCTCTGTCTATCTATCTATCTACAATAGATCTACCCCATGCACCTTTAAGGCTCCACGATCTGTTCAGTTATATCCAGCGAGCTCCAGGCTGTAGCTTTCAAGTGGTGTCCTGCCGCCACTCTTAGATGTGATGTGTTCAGTTGTGGATGACGTATACTCCCTGTCAGCTCTTTGTCTCTCACAAAAGGTATTTACATGTTCTGCACAAACAATTAATAAGTGTCTGCTGACTGTTTCCATGTCTTCTAAACTCCTTATAACCGATTTACAATCGCAACAAGAGATGTCTCATTTTTCCCACTGCACCTATCTACAATCACAACAAGAAGTCATGTCCCACCCCCCCCCCTTCCCCCCCGCCTTCTCCAAACTGCACTTATCTACAATCACAACAAGATAGTTATGTCATTTTCCTACCAAACAGTCATCAACAATTACATCACGATATGTCTCATCTTCCCACCAAGCAGTTATCTACAATCACAACAAGACATGTCTCATCTTCCCACCAAGCAGTTATCTACAATCACATGAAGACATGTCTCATCTTCCCACCAAGCAGTTATCTACAATCACAACAAGACATGTCTCATCTTCCCACCAAGCAGTAATCTAGTCACAACAAGACATGTCTCATCTTCCCACCAAGCAGTTATCTACAATCACAACAAGACATGACTCATCTTCCCACCAAGCAGTTATCTACAACCACAACAAGACATGTCTCATCTTCCCACCAAGCAGTTATCTACAATCACAACAAGACATATCTCATTTTCTACCAAGCACTTATTTACACTTGGGAGTTAAGATCGGCATAGCAAAAAACAAGACGCACCACACAAGAGGACTTGTTACTCAACACAGAAATGATACTATTGGCCACCGGACGCTGAGGTTCATACTGGGAGGGAGGGGTGGATATGAGCACCTATGGAAACGTCCAGAATGCAATGATGATAACCTAGCTAAGTAACTAATTTGTCTACAATCACTGGACAGTTGAACTTGATGTTCCCGCCCAGCAACACTCTGCCTGAACATTATGCCTGGTCACTGTGCCTGGTCACTATGCCTAGTCACTGTGCCTGGCCACTATGCCTGGTCACTATGCCTGGTCACTGTGCCTGGTCACTGTGCCTGGCCACTGTGCCTGGTCACTGTGCCTGGTCACTGTGCCTGGTCATTGTGCCTGGCCAATGTGTAGTGAGTCACTATGCTCCTCACTGTTTATGCCACTATGCCTGGTCACTGTACAGTAATAGATGTGCCTGGTCAATGTTTTGACTGGCTGAGATCCACTATGCCTTGGTTTCACTGTGCCATCTGAAAGTCACTGTTTATGTGTCACTGTGCCTGTTCACAGGATGTGTGAAATGGTCACTGTGCCTGACACGACTTTCAACAGTGTCAAATGTGCCTGAATCACTGTATTAGAGAACTGTGCCTAGGTCAGAGTGCTATATCACAAAGAAAAGGTTTGTGTGCAGGCCGTTATGGACCTGGTCAGTGTGCATGGACACTGTGGATGATGTGTGGCCAGGCCACTGTGCCTGAGTGACTGTGCCTGTCCAACTATGGCGAAGTCACTAATATGTCTGGTCGTCTGAGTTTGTCTGTCAGGACAGCTGCTGCCTGGTCACTGTGCCTGTCACTGTGATTTCTGCTGGGTCACTGTTGACCTGGTCACTATGCCCTGGTCACTGTACAGTTGTCTACATGTGCCTGGCACTGTGCCTGGAAGATTAAAGTACTGCTTGGTCACTGTTTTCCTGTCGTCCATATTTTCTGCTCGTCAGTGTGTCTGGTCACTGTGAGATGGCACTATGCGATGGTCAGCTGTACCTGAGTCATCGCACTGTGCCTGGTCACTATGCCTGGTCATTGTGCCTGGCCACTGTGCCTGGTCACTATGCTTGGTCACTGTGCCTGGTCACTATGCCTGGTCACTCTGCCTGGTCACTGTGCCTGTCGCTTGGGAATATATCTGTATATGATACTAGACTTTCTGTTATAGACAAATGACAATGGCAGGGTCAACATCAAGCCAGCCGCCTTTACCACCCAGTATATTTCCTGGCATCCATTTAAGACAGGGCTGAGCTAAGTTAAGAACCGACATTACAACACTCGAGACATTCCTATAAGCGCTCCATTCCCATCTTCAGCATCCAGCGCCGTTTCAGCTGCGATGATACTAATAGCCTTCTGATTATACTCCTCTCTTGCCTTTCCTCTCGGGTGCTAAGTATCGGCCAGATGCCCTGATCACTTCTCGCTGCAGCACTCTCTCTTCAGGCCGTGTTGTGCTTCAGCTTGTGTTAGAAAACCTGGCATTCATCTCAATGTTTTTCTAGGACTCGGCCCTATGTGCATTTGAATCTCAGCTCTGGTTTAAAAAGAATTATGTTCATTGTTAAACGCGTGTAAAAAGAATAATTAGTTTCAAAAATTAATTAGATTCCATTTTTATTATGACAGAACAAGAAACTATTGTAGAAAAGTTTGATCTGCGATAAGGTGAATCTGATTTGCAAAAAGGTCAATTTAATTTGCAGAAGGGTTAATTCGATTTCCAAAAGGTTAACTGTAGTTGCCAGTGGTGTGTGTGTGTGTGTATGTGTCTGAGTCTGTGTGTGTATGTGTGCGCGCGCGCCGCGAGAGGCGGGATATGTGCGCGTGTGTTTTCCACGTCTGCTCTGCTGTACCAGATGGTCCTTAACAAATGGCTACACATACATACAGACACACACATACACACAGACACTACTACGATCCTATCTGAGTCATCATATTTGAGAAATCAGTGCCAGTCAAAGAGTATAAAGATAGATCATGTATGCACTGCTACACTCCTGGTGCTGAGATGGCCAGCGAAACTCGTCTGTGTAGGATACATGTAACGTACAGGGACTTGCCGACTACCATCTCTTCCAATGTTTGTCGCGCTGTATAAGCACACCCTGCTGAGGTCAGCCTGTGACCTCATTAACAATCGCCAGGTATCAACAACAACCCAAACACATGGCACTATTTATAGGTATGACAGGGCTCTAGTTGTTGCCCGGTCTCTACAGTCACATTTCAACAGCACAAACTTCCACTCCAGCCCCTTTACAGCCAGCTCTCTAGTCCACATTTGCCGTGTTTACAGCTAGCACGTTTCGCAAAGGTTGCATCATGTACCCTTTTTGGCTTTTTTAAAACAATCACATCTGATCCTTCTCTTCTTATTTTTCTTCTTCTCCGCCGCAACGTTTCTATCATTACCCCTCCTCTCTCCCTCCCTACCCTCCATCATATCAATGTTCTTATTCACAGCTGACTAACCACTACTCCTTCTCCTCTTTCGTTGTGACTTGTAGATTAGTGCTTGAAATATGAGGTGCAACTGTTATTTCTCCCTTGTGCTAACGTCACTCACTTCTACCTCTTCCTTTTTTTTCTGCATCTTCTTCTCCTCCTCATGTTTGCCTTCTTCAGCCCCCCCCCCTCCCCCCCCCCCCCTCCCCGATTACCCTTCTCCATCTTCTTTTTCTTGACAGAAATAAAAAAGCACCTAAGCAACAGTCAAACAAATGGAGCAGCCCACAGACAGAGCCACTGGCCGATGGATGGATAGGTATGTGGGCAGATTTGAAGCGGTAGTTTGTAAGCATATCAGATGTTAACATGCACAGATTTGAAAGCTGAACACATCCACCGATGACAATCTAGGGCAACGGCGAGACACACTGACGGGTACTTACTCTGTAGACTTCTCGACGACGCTGGTCCGAAATATTTCTTCCGAGTCGATCTTGATGGCACAGCAGGTGTTCCTGGAGCTGCCCGAGAAGGATGAGCACGGCAGGTTCTTGGCCTCGCCTACAAACAGAAAGCCATGTGTTAATATATGTCCCTACATCAGGAAAGGACACTTGCTCTTCAAGCATCAACAGAAACCAAGCACTCAAGACTCAGTTAACAGTATAATCTCCCGGATAAGAATAAGTTATGTAACAGTCAACGAACATCGAAGATGATAAATCAGTTCCACTGCGTAAATATAGCTGTAGATACTGCTTCCAACATAAGATATCAGTTAAACCACTACTGCTATAGTGATATAAGCTGTTGCAACCACCTTTCTTCTTCTTCTGCCTTTCATCCCCAACTGCAGCATATGCTCCCATCCAACTCAAGGCTCCCATCCAACTCAAGCCAAGACGTCCTATCAATTGCTGTTGCAGGCAGTTCACCCCATGTCCTCGCCATCTTTTTAACTTTACTCTCTAGCTGCCACTAGCATACACACACAATAACGTTTTGTTCGAGTCGTCACGACTCGATATACAGGCAAAATGACCTACGACATTATACATTTTAAAACATTTGCTTTTTAAAAGGGTAAATTAAAACTGGATAATAACATTTTCGTCAAAATATCATTGACAATCATGTTTACTTGCGACTGTGTTGCTAAGCAGTAACCGCGTTCTGCAAAAAAAAAAAAACTCAACTTTGGAGGACGCTGATTTTGTCTTCGCTTTTTAAAACTGAGGATGAACTCACCAATGTCCGGTGACCCCTCAGAATACCCTTGGCGACCCCAAAAAGGGTCGCGACCTATGGGTTTGGAACCCGTGGCCTACAGACTGGCCTGTACTGCGGAGACTCTTGTGTTAGGATAGATAACATAGGCTGGTCTGAACTGTGGACACTCTTGTGTTGGGATAGATAACCTAGACTGGCCTGTACAGCGGACACTCTTGTGTCAGGATAGTTAACCTAGACTGGCATGTACTGCGGAGACTCTTGTGTTAGGATAGATAACATAGACTGGCCTGTACTGCGGACACTCTTGTGTTAGGATAGATAACATAGACTGGCCTGTACTGCGGACACTCTTGTGTTAGGATAGATAACCTAGACTGGCATGTACTGCGGAGACTCTTGTGTTAGGATAGATAACCTAGACTGGCCTGTACTGCGGACACTCTTGTGTTAGGATAGATAACATAGACTGGCCTGTACTGTGGACACTCTTGTGTTAGGATAGATAACCTAGACTGGCCTGTACTGCGGACACTCTTGTGTTAGGATAGATAACCTAGACTGGCATGTACTGCGGAGACTCTTGTGTTAGGATAGATAACCTAGGCTGGCATGTACTGCGGACACTCTTGTGTTAGGATAGATAACCTAGACTGGCCTGTACTGCGGACACTCTTGTGTTAGGATAGATAACCTAGACTGGCCTGTACTGCGGAGACTCTTGTGTTAGGATAGATAACCTAGACTGGCCTGTACTGCGGACACTCTTGTGTTAGGATAGATAACCTAGGCTGGCCTGTACTGTGGACACTCTTGTGTTAGGATAGATAACCTAGACTGGCATGTACTGCGGAGACTCTTGTGTTAGGATAGATAACCTAGACTGGCCTGTACTGCGGACACTCTTGTGTTAGGATAGATAACATAGACTGGCCTGTACTGTGGAGACTCTTGTGTTAGGATAGATAACCTAGGCTGGCCTGTACTGCGGACACTCTTGTGTTAGGATAGATAACCTAGACTGGCCTGTACTGCGGACACTCTTGTGTTAGGATAGATAACCTAGGCTGGCCTGTACTGCGGACACTCTTGTGTAGGATAGATAACATAGACTGGCCTGTACTGCGGACACTTTTGTGTTAGGATAGATAACCTAGGCTGGCCTGTACTGCGGACACTCTTGTGTAGGATAGATAACCTAGGCTGGCCTGTACTGCGGACACTCTTGTGTTAGGATAGATAACCTAGACTGGCCTGTACTGCGGACACTCTTGTGTTAGGATAGATAACCTAGGCTGGCCTGTACTGCGGACATTCTTGTGTTAGGATAGATAACCTAGACTGGCCTGTACTGCGGAGACTCTTGTGTTAGGATAGATAACCTAGGCTGGCCTGTACTGCGGACACTCTTGTCTTAGGATAGATAACCTAGGCTGGCCTGTACTGCGGACACTCTTGTGTTAGGATAGAAAACCTAGGCTGGCCTGTACTGCGGAGACTCTTGTGTTAGGATAGATAACCTAGACTGGCCTGTACTGCGGACACTCTTGTGTTAGGATAGATAACCTTGACTGGCCTGTACTGCGGACACTTTTGTGTTAGGATAGAAAATTTAGGCTGGCCTGTACTGTGGACACTCTTGTGTTAGGATAGATAACCTAGGCTGGCCTGTACTGTGGAGACTCTTGTGTTAGGATAGATAACCTAGGCTGGCCTGTACTGCGGACACTCTTGTGTTAGGATAGATAACCTAGGCTGGCCTGTACTGCGGACACTCTTGTGTTAGGATAGATAACCTAGGCTGGCCTGTACTGTGGAGACTCTTGTGTTAGGATAGATAACCTAGACTGGCCTGTACTGCGGACACTCTTGTGTTAGGATAGATAACCTAGGCTGGCCTGTACTGTGGAGACTCTTGTGTTAGGATAGATAACCTAGACTGGCCTGTACAGCGGACACTCTTGTGTTAGGATAGATAACCTAGGCTGGCCTGTACAGCGGACACTCTTGTGTTAGGATAGATAACCTAGGCTGGCCTGTACTGCGGACACTCTTGTGTTAGGATAGATAACCTAGGCTGGCCTGTACTGCGGACACTCTTGTGTTAGGATAGATAACCTAGACTGGCCTGTACAGCGGACACTCTTGTGTTAGGATAGATAACCTAGACTGGCCTGTACTGCGGACACTCTTGTGTTAGGATAGATAACCTAGGCTGGCCTGTACTGCGGACACTCTTGTGTTAGGATAGATAACCTAGACTGGCCTGTACTGCGGACACTCACTACACAAACTGGCTGTGGTGAGATAGGAGATCGTATCAGCAACAGCCACAAGGCTAGTGACCGACCTCTATTGGCCTCTCCCACACATACTCTAACTTCCCCACGCTTATCTCGCAGGCTCTCATTCATAAACCCAAGCAATCAATGAAACAGGAAGCAGGTCATCTGTCTGGCGTACCTCCACTTATATTCCCCCTGCCCCTCGCAATTAACGCTAACAACAAGGGTTCTCATACGCTTTCTGTAGAACCCTGGAACTAGCCAGGGTATGCTGAAAATTAGTGTTTCTATCTTGAAACTGAAAATAAACTTTGTTCGTTCGCTATTTACGCTTGTTTGGTGCCCCCCCCCCCCTTCCCACCAATGATTATGCGTTCCAATTCCGACCAGGCATGTTTCCTTCCCCGTTTGACGCGGGCTCCTAGGTCGATACATGTTAATGAGTAACAGAAAAGTTGTTGGGGAAATACAGCTGGGCGGTGAGACTAGGACCAGATCATCGAGTACTGAATGCTAAGCTATGTCCTCGTAAGCTAGTGTTCTATTTGGTTGGCCCAACAATATGTCCAGAACAGAAACCAGGCTCCTGCAAGTCTCTACGTCTGCAGATATAGATTCCGTCAAAGTATGACCTTTCGCATTTGCATCTGTACTCTTCTTCTTCATTTTTTTATAGTCCATGGCGTGTGAAGTTGGTAGTCATCTATATCCCCAACCTTCTATCTCGTATACTCCAGATCAAATTGGACATGCTGCCAAACTGCCCAGCATCTTCTCTCTAAGGGTCTCTCTGCCTATTTTCCCCTGTAACTTTCCTACCGTCTTGATGTACCTCAGTTTTCGTCTGTAACTTCCCTACTGTCATGATGTACCTCAGTTTTCCTCTGTAACTTTCCTACCGTCTTGATGTACCTCAGTTTTCCTGTGTAACTTTCCTGTCATGATGTACCTCAGTTTTCCCCTGTAACTTTCCTACCGTCTTGATGTACCTCTCTTTTTCCTACTGTAACTTTCCTACCGTCTTGATGTACCTTAGTTTTCCCCTGTAACTTTCCTACCGTCATGATGTACCTCAGTTTTCGTCTGTACTTTTCCTACCGTCTTGATGTACCTCAGTTTTCGTCTCCCCCCTCCTCCCTAACTTTCCTACCGGAACTCATGATGAACCTCAGTTTTTTCGTCTGTAACTTTCCTACGTCTTTTATGTACCTCAGTTTTCCTCTGTAACTTTCCTGTCATGATGTACCTCAGTTTTCCCCTGTAACTTTCCTACCGTCTTGATGTACCTCAGTTTTCCTCTGTAACTTTCCTACCGAGTACTGAATGATGTACCTCAGTTTTTCCTCTGTAACTTTCCTACCGTCTCCTGATGCACCTCAGTTTTCCCCTGTAACTTTCGCTTTGCCGTCTTGATGTACCTCAGTTTTTTATAGTCCTCTGTAACTTAGTCATCTACCATCTTGATGTACCTCAGTTTCTGACATCTGTAACTTTCCTGTCATGATGTACCTCAGTTTTCCCCTGTAACTTTCCTACCGTCTTGATGTACCTCAGTTTTCCTCTGTAAGTTTCCTACCGTCTTGATGTACCTCAGTTTTCCTCTGTAACTTTCCTACCGTCTTGATGTACCTCAGTTTTCCTCTGTAACTTTCCTACCGTCTTGATGTACCTCAGTTTTCCTCTGTAACTTTCCTACCGTCTTGATGTACCTCAGTTTTCGTCTGTAACTTTCCTACCGTCTTGATGTACCTCAGTTTTCGTCTGTAACTTTCCTACCGTCTTGATGTACCTGAGTTTTCGTCTGTAACTTTCCTACCGTCTTGATGTACCTCAGTTTTCCCCTTTAACTTTCCTACCGTCTTGATGTACCTCAGTTTTCGTCTGTAACTTTCCTACCGTCTTGATGTACCTCAGTTTTCCTCTGTAACTTTCCCACTGTCATGATGTACCTCATTTTTTCCCTGTAACTTTCCCAATGTCATGATGTACCTCAGTTTTCCTCTGTAACTTTCCCACTGTCATGATGTACCTCATTTTTCCCCTGTAACTTTCCCACTGTCATGACGTACCTCATTTTTCCCCTGTAACTTTCCTACTGTCATAATGTACCTCAGTTTTCCCCTGTAACTTCCCCCCTGTCATGATGTACCTCAGTTTTCCTCTGTAACTTTCACACTGTCATGATGTACCTCAGTTTTCCCCTGTAACTTTTACACTGGCATGATGTACCTCAGTTTTCCCCTGTAACTTTCCCACTGTCATGATGTACCTCAGTTTTCCTCTGTAACTTTCCCACTGTTATAATGTACCTTAGTTTTCCTCTGTAACTTTCCTGTCATGATGTACCTCAGTTTTCCCCTGTAACTTTCCTACTGTCATGATGTACCTCAGTTTTCCTCTGTAACTTTCCCACTGTCATGATGTACCTCAGTTTTCCCCTGTAACTTTCCCACTGGCATGATGTACCTCAGTTTTCCCCTGTAACTTTCCCACTGACATGATGTACCTCAGTTTTCCTCTGTAATTTTCCCACTGTCATGATGTACCTTAGTTTTCCCCTGTAACTTTTCCACTGTCATGATGAACCTCAGTTTTCCTCTGTAACTTTCCCACTCTCAGGATGTACCTCAGTTTTACTCTGTAACTTTCCCACTGTCATGATGTACCTCAGTTTTCCTCTGTAACTTTCCCACTGTTATAATGTACCTCAGTTTTCCTCTGTAACTATCCTACTGTCATGATGTACCTCAGTTTTCCCCTGTAACTTTCCCACAGTCATGATGTACCTCAGTTTTCCTCTGTAACTTTCCCACTGTCGTGATGTACCTCAGTTTTCTCTTTCTCGTGAACGACCAAAAATATTGTCGCCTTCTGTGGTTGGTAATAAGTTCTCTTCGTGTGTTAATTTCTGTCAATGCATCTTAATTACTCTTTGTATATGTCAGTGGTGTTCGCACCATTGGCCTATAAAACCATATCTCCGACGTTTCCACATAATTTTTCACTAATCTGTTAACTGTTTATGATTCACTTGTGCACATCAGGATTGGAATTATATAGCTCTTATGAACAGTGTGTGTATTATGTGTGTGTATATGTGTGTTTATGTGTGTATGTATGTGTGTACATGTGTGTATATGAATGTATGTAGGTACGGATGGATGCATGCATGTGTGGGTGTGATGAGTGAGTGTATGTATGTACGCATGACTGTGTGTGCGTATGCGCATGCATATTGTTACATGAAAAAAAACAAAACATGCTTTATTGATAAAATACAACTGCTTTGTGAAAGTTGAGCGTCTGGAAGGGCTGCATGTACGACGGGCCTGTGTGCCAAATTTGTGACCCTTTGAAAATAAAGTTCTTTCGTTCATTCGTTCACCCCTCACCCCAGTTGACAATGAAGAAATGAAGATCACACAGAATATTCTTCATTGTGTAAATCCTTTCTTTAATCTGTACATATTTCTGTATGTAATAAACAGCATCCTTTCTCGGAAGCTGAAATATTTTGGTCATATCAAGCGCCACCACGAATTGGAAAAAAACTATAGCAGAAGGCATGGTACCAGGAAGGAGGGGCAGGGGCCGACCGACACGAAGATGGGCATAGAATATAAGTGACTCCTTGAATATGAAAGTATATGAGGCAGGAGAACTGGCGAGAGACAGAGTTTCTTTCAGGCTGTGATGAGAACGACGTTCTGCAAAGGACCTGCTGCATGATAATGATGATATTACTAGTGTGTACAAAATGTCAAGGTGAAAATTACACCACGTCTGTGCTCACCAAATTAGCATGCCAGCTCTGTCTACTGGGACAACTAGTTTCTCTGTCTACTGTGACAACTAGTTTATCTGTCTACTCAGACAACTAGTTTCTCTGTCTACTGGGACAACTAGTTTCTCTGTCAACTCGGACTACTAGTTTCTCTGTCTACTGTGACAACTAGTTTATCTGTCTACTCGGACAACTAGTTTCTGTATACTGGGACAACTAGTTTCTCTGTCTACTGTGACAACTAGTTTCTCTGTCTACTGTGACAACTAGTTTCTGTCTACTGTGACAACTAGTTTCTCTGTCTACTCGGACAACTAGTTTCTCTGTCTACTATGACAACTAGTTTCTCTGTCTACTGTGACAACTAGTTTCTCTGTCTACTGTGACAACTAGTTTCTCTGTCTACTCGGACTACTAGTTTCTCTGTCTACTCGGACTATTAGTTTCTCTGTCTACTCGGACTACTAGTTTCTCTGTCTACTGGGACTACTAGTTTCTCTGTCTACTGGGACTACTAGTTTCTCTGTCTACTGGAACAACTGGTTTCTCTGTCTACTCGGACAACTAGTTTCTCTGTCTACTCGGACAACTAGTTTCTCTGTCTACTCGGACAACTAGTTTCTCTGTCTACTCGGACAACTAGTTTCTCTGTCTACTCGGACAACTAGTTTCTCTGTCTACTCGGACTACTAGTTTCTCTGTCTACTGGGACTACTAGTTTCTCTGTCTACTCGGACAACTAGTTTCTCTGTCTACTCGGACAACTAGTTTCTCTGTCTACTCGGACAACTAGTTTCTCTGTCTACTCGGACAACTAGTTTCTCTGTCTACTCGGACAACTAGTTTCTCTGTCTACTCGGACAACTAGTTTCTCTGTCTACTCGGACTACTAGTTTCTCTGTTTACTCGGACTACTAGTTTCTCTGTCTACTGGGACAACTAATTTCTCTGTCTACTCGGACTACTAGTTTCACAATACAAGGTAATGCCTATGCAGCCGCACAAAAACACTCCATGCCGACAGTTTGACCATTCAGATCAGCGGCTCTCAATGTGTGGGTACACGACATTTTTAGGGGTCCAACGACCCGTTAACAAGGGTCGTCTAAGATCACCGAAAAAAAGGGCATTCTCACTAAAATTATGAAGTAGCAAAAAAAGAAAATAAGGATTGGGGTCACCACAATCTGTGTTTAAGGGTCGCGGTATTAAAAAGGTTGAGAGCCACTGATTAAGGTATAAATGTGGATGATGCAAGTAGAGAACTCAAACATGGTTGAACATATTCTCCAAGGAGAGTAGTTGATCAAAGTGTCGGAGCAACAATGATACTTGTGTGTGGTTC